AGATGAAAAATCTGTCTGTTTCTCTGCCTTTCAAATAAAATAATAAATAAATAAATATATAAAAGAACCCGATGCAAGAGGAAGGAATAAATGAGAAAACTTAAACAAATGGAGTTCCAAGGGGTTCGTGGAAGGCCAGCTACTGTTTATGAACCACGAGAACATAGAACTCTAGCATTTGTGGTACAGGAAGCCAGAAAGCAAGTAGAAACCCAAAGCCAACTGGAATAGCGCATGTGGAATTACTTTGAAAAATCTAAAGTGTTACCGTAAATTTGAGATATCATTGGCCATAAGATCTCCACTGCGTTGTTCTTTGAATGCATTATTCCCAGTGTCGTGGGGGCAGTGTGCAGTGTTCTCCAAGTGAGGCCCATGTCTTGTTTGTTCTGTTTTTTAAATTCTGAAGTAGAACCATGGTTTTTGTTTCAGATAATATTTTATAAAAATGGTGCCAATCAAGGTGTGGCTTACAAAGATATTTTTGAGGGGGTTTACTTCCCAGCCATCTCACTGTACAAGAGCTGCACGGTACGTATGCCATGTTCATCCTGGGACTCGGGCATCGCGCAGAAGGAAGGGGTGGGGTTGCAGGAGAGGCTGCTGAGAGCGTTGGAAGAGCCCCAGAGAGACGTGGGCACATGTTTCGGTTTGGCCCGAGAACACGTGGGGCTTTGAGCAAGGTGTTTGCGTGGGCAGAGTTCATGCGGATAGTATGCACCACAGCTTTCCTTTGAATTCACTGGGGGTAGTGTTCTGTATGAAGGATACAGAGCCCATACGGGCAGCAGTTCCTGTCCCGGCTGCTCTACTTCCCATCCAGCTCCCTGCTGATGGCCTAGGAAAACCAGCTTGGGCCTCTGCCACCCCTGTAGGAGACCTGGAGAAGCTCCTGGCTCCTGACTTCTGCCTGGCCTAGTCCTGGCCATTTTGGCCATCTAGTTACCTCTCTGTAACTTTGACTTTCAAATCCTTTTTTAAAAAAAAAAAAATGGAAAGGACAAAATTTAATTTTTGTTAAAAATTTGAGCTCCATGTATAACTATTTCATAATACACTTTTTTAAAATTTTTTATTTATTTTTATTTTTTGACAGAGTGGACAGTGAGAGAGAATGAGAGAGAGAAAGGTCTTCCTTTGCTGTTGGTTCACCCTCCAATGGCCGCCGCGGCCGGCATGCTACAGCCGGCACACCACGCCAATCGATGGCAGGAGCCAGATACTTATCCTGGTCTTCCATGGGGTGCAGGGCCCAAGCACTTGGGCCATCCTCCACTGCACTCCCTGGCCACAGCAGAGAGCTGGCCTGGAAGAGGGACAACCGGGACAGAATCTGGCACCCCGACCGGGACTAGAACCCGGTGTGCCGGCGCTGCAAGGCGGAGGATTAGCCTAGTGAGCCGCGGCGCCGGCCATAATACACTTTTTCCATGAACTTTTTGAAGACCCCGCATTCATCAGTGTGGGGCTGTGTGTCATTGTAACCTAACTGTTGCTTACACTGATCTTTCTTTTTTTTAGTATCATCCAGCTTGAAGAAGAAGATTCTCATGAGGGCCTATTTGGGTTTCTTTGTTTATTTGTTTCTAAAGATGATTGAAAAGTCATGCATGAGGATTTCTTAGTGGTTTTAGTCAGCAGCCGCCACGAGGAAGGCAATGTAAGGAAGTCTTTGGCTTCCAGAAGGAGATCAGCACAGGCGTGTTTCATTTGCCCAGTTCCCACTGGACCTGAGGGACGTGGACCACTGGTAGCAGTGGTGTATACGTCGTTCTAGTTATGTCTTGAGTGTCATTGCAAATGAAGATTCAGTGTCAGCTTAACTTTTTCCATATCCTCTGGTTTTTTTCTCATGTCTCCTTGGATTGAATTTATCCCAGGTCTCCATTAACTTCGGGCCGTGCTTCAAGTATCCTCCCAAAGACCTCGCTTGCCGCCCCGTGAGTAGCGTTGCCATGCCCGCCTGCACTGCGCCCTCCGCGTCTTGGGTTCTCGCTGTGGTTTTGCTGACCCCCTGTTTCCCGTTCCTCCTACAGATGAGTGACATGGGCTGGGGCGCTGTGGTAGAGCACACCCTGGCCGACGTCTTGTATCACGTGGAGACAGAAGTGGACGGCAGGCGGAGTCCCCCGTGGGAACCCTGACCGGCCCCTCTGTTTTCGGACATGGACTTTCTGGGGGAGAAGACTGGGGCTTTGGTTTTTGCTTTTTCCTGTGCCCAGTGTTCCCGCAAGCTGCCGCAGAACACGGCCTCACCCTTCAGCAAGGCGGAAGGCTGGGTGGGCCTGCGGGACACCCCCCGCCCTCGCGCATCCCGTCCCCCGCTTCCAGTGACTGCTCTTCCTCTGTGTGCCATACACCAACAGCCGCTGACCCCAGGACCCCGTACGCTCCCTGTGGGACTGGTGCTGTGCCACATCCCCCGCCCGCAGGGACTCGTTCCCTCACTGGATTTTCCAAGGCGTGCATAATCTCGTCCGAGTAGCTAAGTTATCTGAAGACGCGTCTTCCGTGGGCATTGACTGCACTCCACCCTACTGACTTCTCCTCGGGGGGAGGGCCTGCTTCCAAGGACAGCTGAAATCGGTGGCTGTACCTTCCGGAGCAGTCTAAAAACTGTCACCCTCTGCGTGAGTTTGGTTTTGCTATTAATTGTGAACACTGGGCCCTCTGACACGACTAGGTCTCCAGAGCTGTAATTGTGACAGGGACTCGCTTCCACTTTAACAGAAACCCTTCCCCAATAAACTTGTTCTCGAGTTTGTGCAGCCCTCGGATTCCCTGGAGGTCGGGGCGGTGTGAGGAAGGGGAGCGGCACTGGGAGGGAGAGACGCGTCTCGGGCCGGAATCTCAGGCCCTCCCCCTTGGCCTCTTCTCCTGCCAAAGCTGCAGCCTCAGGAGGGTTTAAAGGGCCAACGCTCTCGCCCCACCCCTCTCCCAGCCAAGGCATTGCTGCGTGCAGGGTGTCTCCCCGCCTGCCTGTCTTCCTTTCTAATAGCCCACGACTGAAGGGCAGCGTTCAAACCACTAAATGCTGGGATGTGAGAATGACCACCCCCCTTGGGTCCCTCTGGAGCTTCGCCAGCTCCCCTTTTAAACACGCCCATCTCATGGCAAAATGTGCCTCCCCCCCAGGCCTGCCTCAGCGACACTGCCACTCGTGACTGACACAAGTCGCGCTGGGTCCCCGCAGTGTCCGCATGTGTCACCCACGTGACCCTGATGGATGTCTGAGTTCCCAGTCTAAAATGTTACCCAAATTTCAAGTGAGTGTTGGTATCTTCTGGTAATACTGACTTGATACATTTGTCCCCTGCCGAGTTCCTTAGACTCGGATTTGCCCATTCCGTGTCTCCTACCAGGAAAGCGGGCACGGGACCGGTGGAGCTGTAGGCTGGAGTCTCAGCCTGTCACTCCCTAGACACCTGTTGACTTGGGAGCCCGTTCTACAGGGCCCACCTCGGTGGGAGGCTTTTAGGTCATCGCAGCAGGAGGGACTCCCAGGAAGATGGCGTTCCTTTCCGTACCCACTCCATCTCAGCATAGCTGCCTTCATAACTTAGAGGTCACAGAAAAGACTTTCTGGTTAATACTTGAAAAGAGTGTGAGCATTTGCTAAGCAGGTTCATCCAAAGGGCTCAAAGAATACCTACTCTTGACATAGTCTGGTCGTCAGTGACACCTTGTTTTATTCCAGTGAAAAATAGCAGCTGGGAAAATCTCCCCAGACACCACAGAGACACAATACATGGTTTGAAGGCAGCAAATGAGAATCCAACTCAAAACCTTGGTGTTTGTTGGAAGCCTCTTTATTTATTATCCTGTTTTTCTCTTGAAATGAGAGTATCTGTTGCTTTCGCATCGCTGTAAACAAGTAGCCATTTTCTCTCAGTTGGTAGTGGACGGTCATTTCAAGAACTTCTTTGTAACCGTCCTGTCTCCCCCTGAAACTTTTGAATAAACAGTTCTATCCATACCAAAAGGAAACTAAGAAACAAGAATAAATTATGATAAATACTTCTATCACTTGTAAAATTGTAGTACCTCAATAAATACCAGTGTTTCCACCACTGCTATTTCGTTCAATTTAAGCTAGAGCTCCCTGTCCGAAGAGTACAGACCCACTGCTAACGAAACAAAGCTGGAAAAGCTTTAGAGGGTAACAGTGATTCCCGTCCTGCTTATGCATTTCAACAGAGTAATCCCATTCCAGTTTACCCACTTTAAGCATGATGTCCCCGAGTCCTGGACCGGGGAATTAGCTGTCTCCCTTTGCCCCTCCAACCAGCCACTTCCTCTCAAAATAGAAATATCTGAGCCTTTGCAAGCAAAGAAGTCCTAAGCCAAGCTGGCAGCTATGGAATTCTACTCCCATATTTGGTACTACCTTTTTTAAAAAAAAAAAAAAAAGGTTTATGTATTTTCATTTTGTTTGAAAGGCAGACAGATCTTCCATCTGTTTGTTCAGTCCCCAAATGCCCACAGTAGCTGTGGTTAGGCCAGAACAAGCCCGGAGCCAGAAACTCCAGGTCTCCCACGCGAGTGGCAGGGACCAAGTACTGGAGCCATCGACTGCTGTCTCCCAGGGTGCACATCAGGAAGCCGGTAGCCAGGACTCAAGTCCCAGCCAGGACAGACGTGGCTTCTGAAGGGACAGTGTGACCACTGTGCCACGCTCCCCCTATGCTTTTTAATTAGGTACATTAAAATCCTCAGTGATAATCTGCATCTTTCAAAGCCAATTATTTAGCTCATTAGAGTTCTGTAAGAACTTAAGTTTTTAATGGAAATTAAAGTTATGAAAGATTCTGATATCAGGTTCTAATTTATTGAGTGATATAAATCCCCAGTAGCTTCTCTTCTTTTAATGAACTGGGGTAGGGGGGATTTAGTTTAACTATTTAGAAATCTTTGCCCAGGACTTCTCTAACAAGAAGTTGAAATCTCAGAGTTTTCTCTTTGAACTCTTCTATATTTATTTATTTTTAAACAATCCTATGTGACAGGCAGAGTGGACAGTGAGAGAGAGAGACAGAGAGAAAGGTCTTCCTTTTGCCGTTGGTTCACCCTCCAATGGCCGCCGCGGCCGGCGCGCTGCGGCCGGCGCACCGCGCTGATCCAATGGCAGGAGCCAGGAGCCAGGTGCTTCTCCTGGTCCCCCATGGGGTGCAGGGTCCAAGCACCTGGGCCATCCTCCACTGCACTCCCTGGCCACAGCAGAGGGCTGGCCTGGAAGAGGGGCAACCGGGACAGAATCCAGCACCCCGACCGGGACTAGAACCCGGTGTGCCGGCGCCACTAGGAGGAGGATTAGCCTAGTGAGCCGTGGCGCCGGCCCAGAGTTTTCTCTTACAAAAAGTTTTAGAACAGGTGCAGACTGAAGTTTTGTGTTAGTTAATTCTTTATTCTAAGTGCTTGTGGAGAAGGAGAAACCAGCTTGGTCAATAGTTTTGTGTTTTTCTGTGGGAAACACCTGAAAATACACAGAACTGGGTAATTGCTCGTTCTTGGGGGTTGGCTATACGTGTGTGGTGGGAGAGTAGAGTGTCGCTGCTCCCTGCCAGGGGATGGGAACTCATGAGCCCATGAAGCAGGAGTGCTCAGCCCCTGTCCCTAGCATCACCACACCCATATCAGCCTCTAGCATTTTTAAGATACTATCAGGTATCTTAAGTATCCTGATAGTATCTTAAGATACCCAGGGGGAAAAAGTTTTACAAATATTTTAGGAACCTTGGCCCTCATTCACAGCTGTGGTTGAATGAAATCATAAGGCTTCCTCCACCTTAGAGGCCCATCCCTGATTTTTCTTGCTACTAAACTTGGACCAGTCTGAATCCCTGTGTCATCTCTACACACTATTGTCCCACTGCCGTCAGCTGAGATCCTAGACGGGCCTGCTGGCTGGCAGCAGGGGTCTCCGGTGCGCGCAAGCCATGAGGTGTGGCACATCTGGGAGCAGCGAGCTGGTCTTCAACACCTGGCTTTAGAGGCAGAGCTGGATTCCAGGTGCTTGCGCAGGTTGTTGGCAAAGTCCACCTGGGTCTGAGATAGGACCTGGTTGATGATGGTCTTTGGCAGCCACCCCTGCAGAAGATAGAAGTTGGCACTCTGGACACCGTGCCCTATCACAAACACGGACTGCCTGGCCAGAGGACTGACTGCATGTCACGACAGGATTGGCTGGCTGCCCCCCCCCCTTTTTTTTTTGACAGGCAGAGTTAAACAGAAAGGTCTTCCTTTTTCTGTTGGTTCACCCACCAAGTGGCCACTACGGCTGGTGCGTTGCGGCTGGCACGCTGCACTGATCTGAAGCCAGGAGCCAGGTGCCTCTCCTGGTCTCCCGTGCATGTGCAGGGCCCAAGCACTTGGGCCATCCTCCACTGCACTCCCGGGCCACAGCAGAGAGCTGGACTGGAAGAGGGGCAACCGGGACAGAACCAGTGCCCCGACCGGGACTAGAACCCTGTGTGCCGGCGCCGCTAGGTGGAGGATTAGCCTAGTGAGCTGCGGCGCCAGCCAAGGATTTGCTTTTAAGACACAGTCCAGCCCTGTCTTCCCAGCACCAAGACCTTGAGCAGGTCACATGACCTTTCTCGCACCAAGTTTCCTTCTTTCTAAAATGGTAGCTACAGAGTTGAAATTTGATTTGAGAGGTAAGAGGGAACCATTGCAAGCCATTTGTGGAACAGCAACTAGGCCATCGCTCACGTTCCTTTCCCACCAACAGCCTGTGGTGGTGTTCCCTGTGAGTGGGGGAAGAGCCTATTTTTTTCTCACCAGACCGACCCCTGAGCCACTCCCATGCCCCTCACCTTGAGGTCGATACTGAGCAGCCAAGTGAGTTTGGTCTTGGAGGGACTTCCGGCCAGGGGATGAAACACCATGCAAGTGGGACCCTGCTCGGCTCTGGCAAATGAAGAGAAGGCATGTCAGGAGGGCAGCTTGGAGATGCCTCACCAGGAATCAGGTTACCCACATTCTTGGCGCACCTTGTCTACTCCCTAAGTTACATCAGGTAAGGGAAGTATTTCACAGTTGTCATGGTGACCAGCTCAGAATAAATGTGGCTGCAGCCGGGAGCGGAGCCTGGAGTCCCCTCGGGCCCTTCGGTTGCTGGGTCACAGGGAGGTTGGGGATGGATGGATCCAGGGTGGTACCCAGGCCCCTTCTCAGTGGTGAAGATTATTTAACATTTTGATTATCAGTACCGCTGCCCTCAGCATGCGGCCTGAACATCAGCCCTGCCCTTTGCTTCAGGAAATGCTTAAGGTTCTTGAACTTTCTGGGAGGGTCAGGACAAACTGGTTGGTTATCAAAGTGAGGTCATCTTGTCTGGTGCACTCTGACTTTGGAAAATGAGATTCTCATAAGAAACAGGGCAGGAGCTGGCGCTGGCCTAGCAGGTAAAGCTGCCGCCTGCAGTGCCGTCTTCCCATATGGGCGCCGGTTCAAGTCCTGCCTGCTCCACTTATCCAGCTGCTGTGGCCTGGGAAAGCAATGGAAGATGGCCCAAGTCCTTGGGACCCTACACCCACGTGGGAGACCAGGAGGAGGCTCCTGGCTCCGGATCAGCACAGCTCCAGGCATTGCGGGCGTGAACCAGTGGGTGGAGACCTCTCTCTCTCTCTCTCTGCCTCTGCCTCTCTGTAACTCTGCCTTTCAGATAAATAAATCTTAAAAAGCAGCAGCAGCTGAGGGTGGAGACTTGCACACTTGGCGCGTGCCCACCAGCCCATGTTAGAGTTAGGGGTGGGTGGGGTGGGGTTTAAAACCTGCGGCCAGCGTTACCTGATGACGCCTTTCTGCTCGGGCATCTCCCCGAAGTGTGTGGCCGTGCCAGCCAGCACGCAGGTGGAGCCTCGGCGCCTGGCACAGCGCACGCTCACGAAGTCGCGGGGCCCCACGAGGTTCCCCGCTGCCTCTGCGGCCAGCTCGTGCGTGATGACCGTGTCCTTCCCAATCTTCTGCAGGACCTGGGAGCCACAAGCACAGCTCAGCAGTGCCTGGGGCTGAGCACCACCCATAGCCCGGGGGAGGGGTGCCCTCCTGGGTCCCTGCCCCTGACCTTGCTCCTCACCTTGATCTCTTTAACACTGGGGTTCCACTCCCCCATGGCCTCCATGCGCTCCACGAGCTCCTCGTAGAGCCTCTCCATGGGCTGGTCCAGCACCACCTCCAGTCGGAACACCTTGCCCACCTGCGGCACCACTTTGCTCAACACCTTGTCCCCGTTCGCCTGTCAGGGACAACGACACTGCTGGCCAAGGTCTCACGGGCAGGACCAGGCACCAGAGGGAAGGGAGCAGGACACAGGAGCTCCAGCTGATGACGATAGGCAGGCATCCGTGGCTGCACAAGACCAGGGAGGGGAACCTGCCCACCTGCCTCAGACCCTTTTTTTCTGGGTGAATGCTGGTGGCCAGCACTGGACCACCCGAGAGGCCCCTGCCCTGACTTCAGGATGAAGAGAGGGAGAGACAGCTGGTCTACAACCAGGTATTTCTCTGAGTGAGATTAGAGGTTTGATTTTGTTCCATGCCTCACTTCACACCAGGACATGAGGCCAGAAGAGGTCAGTGAGGATCCCGGGCTGAGAGCAGTGCTGGGCCTACATCCCAGGTCTCTTGACTCCCAAACTGTAGTCTATTAACTCCTCTGCTCTGTAAACTTAAGAGAAATTTTACCTGAACTTTGGGGCAATGGGGAGCAAGTGAGCTTTTGGCTGAGGATAAAGCCACTAAGGTCTGTGGTGACAGAACCACTGGCCTATAGCGTGGACCTTGTCACTGGCATCTGGTGAGGCTGCAGCACCGGGAGCAGAGAGCCCAGGAGGGCGCTGGGCCGCCTATGTGTTCCCATCCAGCCCACAAGCTCAGCCGCGAGGCTGGCACAACAGCGGGGAGCAAGCGCTGCGGCTCTGTGCGTGTTCTAACGTAGCGTGATGAGGGCTCTGAATCACAGAGTCCCCCTCGCGCGACCTGCCGAATGTATGCACAGCGTGAAAGGAGACTTCAGCAAGCTTGTGGGGAAATGGAATCAAAAGATGTATGTGTTGGTGCAAAGAATTTTGCAATCCACCTGTGGCTTTTTCATAAGGGGCGTTTTTCCATTCACTTTAAAGGCTCCTCATCCTTGGTATGTTAGCCAAGGATGCAAACAGGATTTCTTAAAGAGTCGCCAAGATGTCTCGTGGGGGTGGGGTGGGGTAACCGAGGGCGACTCTCTGGACAAGGGAAGTCCTCTAAGCCACCTGCTGCCCGGTGGAGGCCGAGCAAGGCCGGCAGTCCCAGGAGCACAGTGGCCCCACTGGCCCTGTGCGCAGCGAGGGCACACTGGGGACCGGCAGCTTTCTGCCCACGCCTTCCCTACCTGCCGGTTCTCCTCCTTCCAGCCCTCCTGGTTGCCGAGGATGCCCAGGGCCTTCTGCAGGGCCTCCTCTCCCTGCTGGATGTAGGCCAGCTCCTGGTCACTGTAGAGAGTCTCCTCCAGCCGAGAACCTGGATGTACAGCCAAGGAGAGATTTACAGCGTCCTCCCACGCCCCTGGCCTGCCCCCAGTGGTCACCGCTCTGATCTCTGAACCTGATCATGACTCTGGAGAGCCAAGACCAAAGCCATAGGGCTGAGCCTGCAGGGGAAGGTAGACAGGGCAACCCCAAGGAGCAGGCAGGGACTCCCAGATGGGAAGGGACTTGCAAAATTAAATGACAAAGGGCAGGAGGAGAGCCAGAGCCAGAGTGTCCACCCCCTCCAATGGCCCCAAGCACTTACCAAGCAGAGAGCTCCGACGCCGCACCTGGCTGATCCATGTGTTGGAGGTGGGGCCCCCCAGTGCCCTCCAGTTCAGCTCCTGACCAATGGCCAGCACTGCCTGTTGCCTCAGCCCTGCGGGGAGGCAGAGAAGCCATTATTGCCAGCGAGGGTTACAGAGAGAGAGAACCGGCCTGGAATCACCAATTGCCTAGGGACACAGATTCCTAGGAGACCTAGGAATGCCAGGTCCCTGGCTCCCAGTTCAGGGCCTGTTAGGCTTCAGCAGGCTGCCTGCAGGGCCCTAGTGGTGCGCAGCCTTTGTCTGGAGCGATCAAGCCTGGTCCTGCCCGCAGTGTCTGCGCCAGAGCCTGCTGGAGTTTCTGTCCCTGGAGGATGCGGCAGTGTCGTTCCAGCAACCAGACAGAGCCTGCTGCAAAAGGCGAGTAAAAGAAACCCGTCCCCGCAGAGCGGCGTGGTGGGGCTGTGGGTTGAGCCGCTGCCCCCAGCCCATATCGGAGCGCAGTTCAAGTTGTGGCTACTCAGCTTCCCATCCTGCTCCCTGCTAATGCACCTGGGAGGGAGCACATGATGGCTCCAGTATTTGAGTCCCTAACACTAATGTGGGAGACCCGGGTGGACTTCTGGGCTCCTGGCTTTGGGCAGACACAGCCCCAGCTGTTGAGACCATTTGGGGATTGAACCAGCAGACAGAAGATCTCTCTGTGTCACTCTGCCTTTCAAATAAAGAAGTCTTAAGAAAGAAAGATGGGGCCAGCATTGTAGTGCCTGCTGCCGCCTGTGGGTCTTCAAGCGTGGCTTCTGGCTCAGCGGCGGCTGGTTCAACCCAGCACCCCTGGGACAGACTCATCCAGGTTGCTCTGTGCACCCTTCCATGGCAGCCGCAGAACTAAGCTGGGTGTGGAGTGCCTGGTTTCTGTCTCTTCCTGACTGTACAAGGGTAAGTCTCCCCTGGGGCCAGCATTGGGGCGCAGCCAGTGCAGCCGCTGCCTGTGACGCAGGCATCCCATAGGAGCGCCAGTTCAAAGCCCACTTGCTCTGTTTCTGATCCCGCTCCCTGCTAATGGTCCCAAAAGACAGCAGAAAGTGACTTGAGTGCTCAGGCCCCCACCACCCGTGAGGGAAATCCGGAAGGAGTCCCGGCTTCGGTTCGGCCCAACCCTGGTCAGTGCAGCCACCTGGGGGGTGAACCAGCAGATGGAACATTGATCTCCCTCCCTCTTTCTGTAACTCTGCCTTTCAAGTAAATAAATAAATAAATCTTAAGGGGAAAAAAAAGTCAAGACTAACTTTTCCTTCTACCAAAGACGGTCTGAAGGGAAGAGAGTTGCCCAGGTTCCACCCACCAGGGATGAGAACCTGGCTGGCTTGACACCCTATCCATCCCTTCCCCGACTAAGCCGCACAGCCGGGGAGCTGGGTCCCCACCCCAGGGATCTCACCCTTCATGTTGCGCATGTGTCTGTAGGAGCTCCCAGCACACAGCTTGAACGTCGCTAGCAGCATTGTCTGCTGGCAGGTGTGACCGTGTGACTGTGTGACTGTGTGACCGTGCCGCTGCCACCGCCGCCGCTGCTTCTGCTCTCTCGAGGGCGGCTGCTTCGTCCTTATGAACTCTTCAAGGTCCACCCCCAGGTCCTGCAGCTGTGGCCTGGGCTGTGTGCGCTGCGTCTTAAATGCCCCCAGCTGAAGGCTATGCTTCATCACAAGGAGATAACAAAGCCATCACTCAGCAAGCAGAGGAAGGGGTCAAGGAGATGAGCGATTGCCACATGCCGCTGCTCGCTGCTCGAGCCGCTTGTGGGTTAGGGGAGGGTGGAAAGGAGCGGAGCAAGGCCTGCCAGACCCAGCGCAGCAAACCGGCGGCGGCCGCGGTGGAGCCAGCACGTGGCCCCCAGAAATTTGCAGTGTGGGTTTTAGAAACTGCAGCTGTCACAGGTCTAGCATTGAGGCTCTGAGAAACTTGCATTGAAAAGAAAAGCCGCCAGGTGATTGCAGTGCAGGTGAGAAATGCTGCCCCAACAGTGGGCCAGGGGGCCTGCAGGAAAACCCGTGAGCCGAGCTGGGAGGAGCTCCCTGGCTCCTGTTCTTACAAACGACGAACCTCAAGTCCAGGGAGCAGAAATGACTGTTCAAGGTCACACAACTGGCAGGACGCTAACACAAGTCCTCTGGCCTTGGGTCCCTCTGTGGTTCCCCCTGCAGCCCCTTGGTCACTATGTGTGCTCAGTGGTTCATTCATTTACTTCATTCAGTGATACGGACAGCGGGCACCAAAGCCGTGCTCACGCTAGTTCTCCTCTGAGGGGTTTTGTGCTGGACCAAGCTGTGCTGTGGGGGCTTGGCACGTGCAGAAAGCAGGGCAGAGAGGGTGCTCACCCCCGGCTGTGCAGTATGGGGGGGACCTCTGCCAGGTCTCAGTGAGGCCACCGAGGCAGCTAAAAGATCACCCAGATTTGTTCCTGGGTGACACATGGCTGTCTCCTGTCACCACTCCTGGGGGCAGTAGCAGGGCCTGGTGCTCCTATCTCCCTGCCCTAAATGTGAAAGGGGCAAGGGTCTCCCGAGAGCCAGGTGCACAGAGCAGAGCAGGCGCGGGGTCTCCCCTGGCTGCCACTCAGGCCCACTGCAGGCCCTGCTTCTCCTTGGCCACCCGCATCTTCAGGAACGGCTTGTTCTCCTGACTGCCACCTGCAGTACTTGGAGGGTACCACGGCTTGAGCTCCTCCACGTCTCTCTCGGGGTGGGGGTGGGGTTCCATCTGCTGGTCACTTCCCAAATGGCTGCAACAGCCAGGGCTAGACCAGGCCAAAGCCAGGAGTCAGGAGCTTCCTCCAGGTCTCCCATGTTTGGGCCAGCTTCCGCTGCCTCCCAGGTGCATCCACAGGGAGCTGAATTGGAGGCAGAGCAGGTGGGACCCAAGCAGCTGCTTAATGTGCTGCCCTGCAACACCTGCCCCCATCTGCCTGTCTCTGGTGAGGCAGCCCTGTGCCCACTTCCCCTCCAACCCGCCCCCACGGGGACTCTTGCCCCTTCTCGGTTGGATCAACCAGGGAGGCAGCCGTGCAGCCCAGGGAAGACAGGCCTCAGTGCCCGCCGCTGGTCCCCAGCCTGCACCCAGGCCCAGTGCAGAGACCGCGCAGGCAGCCACGGTGCCAGCTGCCCAGGGGGGCTCCCCTACCCGTCTGCGCAGTCCACGTGTTCCGGGCTGCGCACGTGCGCCCTCCGTGCCTGCTCGCGGGAGGGGGCCGGGACTACGCCACGGGCCGCGCAGATAACGTTCAAGGCCCTGCTGTTGCCATCTGCTGTTGCCATCCCGTGAAGAATACAGTCATTCTGAGAAGGGAGGAGGCGGTGCAGGAGACGGGCGCTGAGGCCTAACACGGCTGCTGATGTCACAGGCTGTCACTGACTCAAGGAGGGGTGCACGGTGACCTCCCCGAGGGCCAAGGCTTTCTTCCTCTTCATCCTGTCCAGGCTGCACGTTAACTCTTGCTGTCCCTCTGAGCAGTAAGCTGGGAGACTTCCTCTGCTTCTGCAAGTTTTCTGTATCTGGCTCTGCCTTTTTTTTTTTTTTTTTTTTTTTTTTTTTTGACAGGCAGAGTGGGCAGTGAGAGAGACAGAGAGACAGGTCTTCCTTTGTTGTTGGTTCACCCTCCAATGGCCACTGCGGCCGGCGCACCGCGCTGATCCGATGGCAGGAGCCAGGTGCTTCTCCTGGTCTCCCATGGGGTGCAGGGCCCAAGCACTTGGGCCATACTCCACTGCACTCCCTGGCCACAGCAGAGAGCTGGTCTGGAAGAGGGGCAACTGGGACAGAATCGGCACCCCGACCAGGACTAGAACCGGGTGTGCCAGCGCCACAAGGCGGAGGATTAGCCTAGTGAGCCGTGGTTCTGGTCGCCTTTTTTTTTTTTTTTTTAAATGATGTATTTATTTATTTGAAAAAGTTATAGACAGGGGCCGGCGCTGTGGCACAGCGGGTTAACGCTCTGGCCTGAAGCACCGGCATCCCATATGGTCGCCAGTTCAAGTCCCGGCTGCTCCACTTCCGATCCAGCTCTCTGCTATGGCCTGGGAAAGCAGTAGAAGATGGCTCCAGTCCTTGGGCCCCTGCACCTGTGTGGGAGACCCAGAAGAAGCTCCTGGCTCTTGGCTTCGGATTGGCGCTGCTCTGGCCATTGCGGCCAATTGGGGAGTGAACCATCGGATGGAAGACCTCTCCCTCTCTCTCTCTCTCTCTCTCTCTCTGTGTGTGTGTGTGTGTGTGTGTAACTCTGACTTTCAAATAAATAAATAAATTAAAATCTTTTTTTTAAAAAAAGAGGCAATCTAGTGGAAATGCCTATCTTTAAAAAAAAAAAAAAGCTATAGACACACACACACACACACACACACACAGATCTCTCCAGTGGTTCACTCCCCAAGTGTCTGCAGCAGCCAGAGCTGGGAGTCCTGGAAGAAGCTTCTGCCTCCTGGCTTCAGATCAGCCCAGCTCCAGCTGTTGTGGCCATGTGGGGAGTGAACCAGCAGATGGAAACGTCTATCTCTCTGCCTCTGCCTCTCTGTAACCCTGCCTTTCAAATAAAAGAGAGAGAGAGAAAGAGAGAGAACGCTGAGTGAAGGAAGCAGGACACTCACATCTGGCAGCAAAGTCGGGCTCTTGGCACTGTTGCTTAATCTGTGAAACCTGGGGCTGCTGTCACCTCTCCTGTCATTTGAAGTCCTGCACCAGACTTCAGGGCGGTGGACGAGCTACTCCGCTGCTGTGCGGGAGGCCCTTGCTTTCCTCTCTCTCCCCCAATTCAGACAGCAAGCCGGACTTTAGATCTCCTTGCCCAGGGACTTTCGCAGGGAGTGTAGAGGCTTTTGGTTTTTGTGATCGCCTGAACCGGAAGAGCAGATGGGGCGAGTAACCTGAACTTAACCTTTCAGATCTTCTATGCAGTCTTCATACTGTTTTTTTTTTGTTGTTGTTGTTGTTGTTTTTAAGATTTATTTTATTTATTTACTTGAAAGAGTTACAGAAAGAGGTAGAGACACAGAGAGAGAGAGGTGTCTTTTCATCTGCTGGTTCACTCCCCACATGGCTGCAATGGCTGGAGCTGGGCTGATCCAAAGTCAGGAGCCAGGAGCTTCTGGTCTCCTATGTGGGTGCAAGGCCCCAAGCACCTGGGGCCATATTCTGCTGCTATCCCAGGTGCATTAGCAAGGGAGCTGGATCGAAAGTGGAGCACCAGGACTTGAACCAGCATCCAGATGGGATACTGGCACCGCAGGTGGTGGCTTTACCTGCTGCACTAGAGCGCCAGCCCCTCCACACCGTTTTAAGAAAATTTTGGGCCGGCACCACGGCTCAATAGGCTAATCCTCCACCTAGTGGCGCCAGCACACCGGGTTCTAGTCCCGGTCGGGGCGCCGGATTCTGTCCCGGTTGCCCCTCTTCCAGGCCAGCTCTCTGCTGTGGCCAGGGAGTGCAGTGGAGGATGGCCCAAGTGCTTGGGCCCTGCACCCACATGGGAGACCAGGAGAAGCACCTGGCTTCTGCCTTCGGATCAGTGCGATGTGCTGGCCGTGGTGGCCATTGGAGGGTCAATCAACAGCAAAGGAAGACCTTTCTCTCTGTCTCTCTCTCTCACTGTCCACTCTGCCTGTCAAAAAAAAATTTTTTTTGAATTGGTTGTCAACCTAATTAGGTGAAGAACACTTAATAGTGGCTTCAAAGGACTGAGGCTCTAGAAGGGAGGAATTCCATGTCAAAGGGTAGAGGTGATACAATTGTTCTCAGGGCTGGCCCTGTGGCACAGGGACTAAGCTGCCACCTGCAGTCCCTGGGAGAGCAGCTTCAGCCTGGCCCATGCCTGGCCACTGAGGTCATCTGGGGAGTGAGCAAGTGGATGGACAATCTCTCTGTCTCTGTCTGGGTCTCTCTCTCTCTCTGTAACTCTCTCTGTAATTGCCTTTCACATAAGCAAATACATTTTTTTTAAAGACAAGATTCTCTATCAGGATTGTGATGGTGGTTACATAACAACATGCAGCTGTTAGAACTTGGGGCTGGCGGGGGCTGGCACCGTGGCTCACTTGGTTAATCCTCTGCCTGCGGCGCGGCATCCCACATGGGCACCGGATTCTGTCCCGGTTGCCCCTCTTCCAGTCCAGCCCTCTGCTGTGGCCCAGGAGTGCAGTGGAGGATGGCCCACGTGCTTGGGCCCTGCACCCCATGGGAGACCAGGAAGAGGTACCTGGCTCCTGGCTTTGGATTGGCACAGCGTGCCGGCCGTGGCGGCCATTTGGGGGTGAGCCAACGGAAGGAAGACCTCTCTCTGTCTCTCTAACTCCGCCTGTCAAATAAAAAAAAATTTAAAAAAAAAAAAAAACTGGGGCTGGCTTTTGGGGTACTCAGATGCCGCAGCAGGGTGCCTGGTTGAGTCTCAGCTGCCCTTCTGAATCCAGCTTCCTGCTCACGTGCACCCTGGGGGGCAGCAGGTGATGGTGCAAGGAGCTGGCTTCCTGCCACTCTTAAGGGAGATCTGGGTTGACTTCGGGGCTCTTGGTTTCAGGCTGGCTCAGCCCTGGTAATTGCTGGCATCTGGGAGTGGACCAGAAAACAGAAGCTCGCTCTCTCTCTCTCTTTTTTTTCCCCCAAA